ATTCCTTGAATAATAAATTGTCAAAAATTCTTCTTTGTTTTCACAAAGCATATGTTACTTCTCTTTTGCCAGCTCACTGGAGCTATGTTATTTAATTTTGTTTGGTATTTTCATGATCTTCCAGGGAATACTTGTCAGTCATTAACTTTTGAAGGTAAAGTTATTTTTTCCCGTAGTCAGTCCAGTGGTTTCGGCCAGATTAAGACTGAAAGCAAGTATGTTATCAGTGCATCCTTTGTTGCATTACACTCTCTCACGTGTAATATTCTCTCTAAAGGATTGTTTTTCCCTTATTTCCTCTTCTCGCCAGTCCTGTTACTTGACTCACTTCTCAGAGTTTCTTAGATTATGAATGGAATTCACATTAGTTAGGTTTTGGAACTTTCTCTATAGCACTACTAGTCACCTTTTTGGCATCACCAAAGCATTCGTGACTGCAAAGATGATCTAATTGAAATCTGTGTTGTCAGCTGCATGCCTGTCTCTTTGCAGCTGGGTGACACAGTTGGAGCGTCACTCTTTTGTACTCACATGGCATATGCTGTTTTTTCCATGGCCCATACACAACAGAAAAGGGGATTCCTTCCCTCCCTGACCTGCTTATTATGCTGGAGGAATGCTACAGATCCAGCACTGAATCTTAGTGTGAAGTATTTAGCCGAGTAATTTGGAGGCTCAGGATAAGTGACATTTCAGCTCAGTTTGAATCCAGCTCTCATTTTACACTTTTAGATTTTCCATGCCATTTACTCCCCCTCTTACTCTCCTTATCCACTGACTCTGTTGTATCAAAGTGAACTTCAGAAATAATGAAAAATACAAAGCAGTAATTCACGGTGCTGCTTTCCACTTCACTGATTTGGCCATACTTTCCTGCACTCCATGTGAAGTTAGACCTAATAATCACATACCAGGGCATGAGTCATCGTTTGGATGAGTTGTGAAATAATCCTCCATGAATGAACATTAGAAAAAGGCTTTTATGTGAGCATGAAGGCCTCCTGTTGAGGGGATAAACAATGATTTAGGACACGGTTGCAAAAAAGGTTCTGTTCCTGAGACACGAACTCATTAAAACAAATTGTTACTCATGTTGATTGACTACCCAATGAGACAATAGGTTATTACACAAGAGGCATTAGTGTTTAAATCCATAATTTCAATAAGAGGTCGAATGTGTTAACTTAAAAAAAAGCTGTCCTTCTTTAGAGCTGTGTCAGATTTAGATTTACATCCATCAGTCAGCACCCCAGTCGCCAGAATAAATGTTGGCATTGTACACTTATGCAAACCACGAAAATGTAACATTAGTATGTTTCATATATAGCGGATATGTTGAAAATTTCAATTTGATGTTGTGACAGCACTGTGGTTAATGTGTGGTTAGGTTTAGGCACTTAAACTACTTGGTAAGGGTTAGGAAAACATCATGTTTTGGCTTAATATACCCAGTTTGGTTGCTACAAACACTGCAGGAAGTGTCACGAACTCTCGTTTAAAAAAAAAGAAATGGTTTTGGCACTATAACACAGCTGGACCTGTCTCGTACTCTTGGTAAAAGCACAACAAAACACTTTTGTCGCTACCAGAATGGCTGGAAATGTCTCAACCTGTCGTTAAAAAAATACCCACTATTCGTTGGTTTTGAACAGTGTTCTGCTGCTTGGCAGCCTGGGTGGTGTCTCACCATCACCATACCCTCCTCCTCCTCCTCCTCTTGATGAGAAACTCATCTTACGTGCATGTAATCTGAGCTACATCCCTTTAGAAATGTTGAAATGATTAGTATGAAACTAACAAATGTAACATGTCTGTGGTTTGCAAAACGTACAGTGCCAGCATTTTATTCTGGTGACTGGGCTTTTACTTGCTATAACCACCTTGATCTACCATTAGCTTATGAAGTGCTTATGGCTAGCAGTTTCCTACCTCCATCCATTGAAATTACCTCCTGAGACCCTGTGACCTCATATGAGGACACCGCATTTTTGGTTTCCTGCACCTTATACTTCATTCTACTTAACTCAGACCTGTTGTCCTTGTTTGTGGACACTTGCTGTGCCATCTAGTGGTAGTAAGAGCACAATGCACTAATCCATGGTAAAGCAAGATGGCAGCCACTCTGCAGCCGATCCGGACACAAAAGTGGGCAAGGTACAAAACCTGATCACATGCTATGGTTGAAACTTGTTTATTTATAATTGATTAAGTTTGTGGTCTGACAACAAATTTGACCAATTTAAGCAACAGTAACACGATAAGATGCTGTAGGATGTACTCGTTTGAGGACATTGGGATTTTTTGAGATGTACTTTAAATCAGTGGTTCCCAGCTGGTGGGTTGCAGTCCAGAAGTGGGTTGCTGGTCCATTGTGACTTGTGAACATATTAAGTTTTTAAAAAGCACACTTTCTTTTGAAGTATAGTGAATTCCTGGCACAAGCTTTTATTTTAAAATACTGTTTCATGCTGTAGAGTGAGTGAATAACGAACAGCTGCTCAACAGAGACAGAAAAGTAGCTCTACAACATGGCCAAACACAAGTATGATGTTGAATATATTGAACTTTGTGGACCTTGAACTAATAACTAAGGACAAATCTGGACCTTGTGGCTGGACCAGTTGGGAACCACTGCTTTAAAATGTACTAAAACTCACAAGTAAAACTTGACCTGTGATGTCACACCACATTGCAATACTGTGACATGCCCTGTATGTGAAAGCGACATTAGTATTACACGGTGTTAGCTCCAACACAAATTACACTGTACATCATTTTCTACTTGATGTATGGCAGTGTGGAAATACTCTCTTGAGATAAATGAGGGAACAAGTGACACGTCACACCCACAAATACAAAAAACCCCAACAAAAAACAGCACAGTTTTGTTGTTAACCATCTGATTTTGATTATATCCCGTTTCTTCAGGACTGTCAGAGGTGCTGAGATCATCCCCTTTTGCTTTCATCAACATGTGTTACACTTTATTGCAGCACGGAATATGTTGGTAGTACCCAGCAGTTCTCTTTTAAAACAAGATGAGCAGACAACTGTCTGTCCGTATTTCATCTGTTTTTTTTCCAGTGCTGCAGCTGAGATCACTGTTTTCCTTGGCTTTTATTGAAGTATACAAGCTGTTTGAAGTAGTGTACAAGCCCATGTTCAAACCTTTGCCTCAACTATATTTTAATATTTCTAAAATCCAGGTTGTTGTCTGGGATTGTCTAGAATACAACCAAGGGCCTATGTGCTATAGTTTAAAGGGGAACACCACCTAAAGTAAGAGTTGCATATGTTATTTCCACGGCCAATGAAAGTTCAATCAATATTTGTGAACATGAGCTGCTCTCCCACAAAGCCAGATGCCAGAAAAGTAGGCTAAGTCTCAACACTTGTGATGTCATAGGGTTTAAAGTCTGGAGCTGCTCCATAGACAATGCATGAGAGCCTGATTTTGTGGACCCAAAGAATGTTTGTTTTCTGTTTTACACCCAAATGAGCTTCATTCTATTGTAGTGTTCTCAGCGTTGAAACAGAAAATGTACCCATGTACTCAGAGCATTGCACTTCCAGGTAGACAACTGGCAATAGATTTTAGTTGCGGAGTGTGTGTTTGTAAATCCAGTATAATGGAGTGTGCTGTTGTTTGATGTAACAGATCTTTCTGTTTTTACGTAAGTTCACAAACAACCACATGAACCACACATACACTTAGCTTGGCGCTCTGCTGCTCTGTCTCCACAGACAGAGTGACAAGAGTATGCTCTACTGCTCAGGGAGTGTGGTGCTCTGAATAACATAATGGTGCATTTCAACAGTGCTCAGAATTTATGTACGGTCCGGTTTGTGCCAAAGTGTGCTTCGGCAGTTGGAGTGAGTATTTCCAAAGGAATGTAAGTCCCCATTGGTTACCTGGCAACCTGATGGGCACAGCAAGACTTGGCATGCACAGGTTTTCAGCGTCAACGCAACTGTATTATCTCTGAGTGTGAACACAGTGTAAAAACAGAGCAGAAAAAAAGACATGCATGTGACTCAGGTGTGCAAAAGCTCCACTTTTTAACATTTTTTGTTATTCAAAGAAAAAACCTGCTCAGCCTGTCTGCCTGGCGTTAATTTCATTATAACATAGGATATTAATCCTTGTTAAGGGACATGCTGTTCAGTTGGGAAGCAATGGCGCTTGTGCGTTGAGTCTCAAATTCGTGGCATTCCTGGAATTTAAGCTCTTGTTGCATAGTAAGTTGTTTCAGTATATTGCCGGTGCTTTGACAAACCATTTTTCCCTCTCCAAAATGACCCCGCCTGGCACGTTTCTAGCAGCATAGATGCTTGAATTTGGAACAGGTTCTCAACTGGAACTGGTTCGTGAGTCCCTTCCCTTAATAAAAAAGATCTAACTTGTAAATTGGTGAGTTTTAGAGGTGCTGGTGGGGGGTGAGATGGGGTGATTGATATCTTTGACCAGAACAAGTTATCTCTGTCGTTTCTAGTTTTTCTACTAAGCTAACCAGCTGCTGTGTAACTCTTATTTTAGTTATTTTCAAAGGGGAGACATTTTACACCTACTTCGATGAACAAAATGGTTTCAGGTTTCAATTTTAGTAATTAAACAGTTGCTTAACCAAAATAACCCCCATCATTCTGACTGATAATAATATAAAATCTGTAATATTATGATACGGTAAAACCTCAATATTTTCTGAGACTGTTATCATACTGTGAAAATCTTGTGACGTTGCAACCCTACAACATATTCAGCATCTCACTTAGGACCAACCATTCATGGTTATGTGTCACCGCAGTCTGCCACATCCTGTGCTGTAACTGTCTGTCAAATGACTGTTAAGGTGAAACATTTACATCAACAAACCTCAGAAACACGTTCTGATTGGCTGCTGACTTGGCAGACTGACTGTGGGAGGCCCATCCCACATGTCAGTGCCTGTTGCTCTCTCACACACTAACTCTCTTTCACTCTCTGTCTGTGTGTTTCTCAGCTGACAACAACACAGTGAGCAGGAATCCTGATTCACCTGGAAAACCTGGAGTATTATATTTACAAGACTTTTTACAAGGCTACCTGCCTACTTTAATGTAAGTATTATCATTAAATTATACCTACCTCATTGTAGTGCTTAGATTTTTGTACCATTTTAGATAATTCCTAGAAGAAGAAGGAGTCTGGTGTTATGAGTACCATGTGCTTTACAATATTGTATATAATACGACAAGTCAAGTAGAAGTGATTGAAGGTTTTCTTGGTCAGTGCACTTGTCACTCTGTGTGACCTGGTTTCCCTTGTGGGTGTGCATGTGGGTGTGTGTTTGTCTGCGTTTTTGGCCCAAGGCTGAGATTTAGCCTGGAAGAGCCATTTGATTTCCCGGTCAGGGTCACAGTTCAGCTGATAACAAGAGCTACTTTGAACTGTGTTCAGTGTGTGTGCATGTTTTAAGGTTAGCAACTGAAGAGACTGTATCATTATTTTTTAATTACTAGCAGTTCTCTTTTATTTGTAAATGTCTGCTATGGTTGTGGTGCTGTGAAGTCTTTATTGTTGCCATTTAATTTTCTATTTCTGTAAGTTCTGAGGAGTAAACGCAGCCATAAGGATCAAGACTAAATGAACAGCTGTTGCACATCTATATCAAACCTTAATTCAAATCCACATGCTTCCATTTAAAATAACCACAGTGTGGAAATGCTATCCTGTTGCTAATTTCAGACTGTTTTTAAATTAACTCAATGGTAAGCACAGCTGTCTATCTGTGGATTCAGGATTTAAAGCCACAGTGTGAAACTTCTTGCCTGGAGTAGCCAAAAAGTTATGCTAGTCTCACCCTTCTAACCCGTATTTGGACAGGTTCATGCCCTATTGTGTGTCAAGCGTGTCCGTGTCCTCGAATGACATTAGTGTCAAGGCGACAGCTAACATCTGTACAGCCACAACATTAGCTGAAACAGCAGACGATGAACACAGATGGTTCCCAAATAGAACGTTGTTGTTTTCCATGTTTTTTATTGCATCTTGTCTGCACATTGCCGTACTTTCGTTTCTCATTGCTCCTCCCAGTCGTTTCGGTTGGTAGGACTTGCCTGTGCTATGGTTGCTGATCTACGCCCAAGCTTATTGGCATGTTCATGCATACCAAACTTCATGCGTGATTTCAGGTAATTAAGAATATAGACATGTCCTCACAGGTACACAGAAAGGTAGACTACTCTTATTGTATTTTATTTATGATTTGATGGCAGAAAGTGAGAGTCTCATAAGACACAGGCATTGGGGAGAGATATTGTTCATCTCATGCAGTGGCTGAAGGCTTTGCACATATACTTTGTCAACTTTTGATATATCTGGTTCAACCTGTTCGTTGACTGTGACACATGCAGGTGAGATTCCTCCTGTTTTGGATCAGGGTGGGCTGTCAGTACTAAAAAATGTAAACTCACATGAATGCTGATTTTGCTGATAAGGATATGGGCTTTTGAAAACTGATTTGATTCCCTCAGCTGAGGTGGAGATTTTTTACCCCTCAAACATTCAAACATTGAGATGAAATGGGCCTCGTTATATTTTGGTTGAGGTGAAGAGAAACCTCTTCAGCATATTAGTGTGTCAGAAGTCTTGATGTGTCTCTCACTTTAATCTGGAGTGTAGCTCCAGGGAAGCAGCTCCCACGTGTTTCAGTTTCAGTCACAGAGATTGTGCAACTGAAATCTATTATTTACCTTGGAACTTGTAGTCAGTTAAATAATGTGCGCTAATACGCTGCAAGTGTGTGTCTTTTTAAAGTTTGGGGTTCGTTTTGGTACGAATTATTATTCATTAAATAAGATAAACTTTATTAATACTATGCAGGGAACATTGTGGATTATTTTTTAAATTCTATTTTTATATAAAACAGGTCACTGGGATATTAAAAGCAGATATTATGCACATCCCATGATCCCCGAACCTGTCTACCCTGTCTTCCCAGATCTGCTTTATAAAAGGCAACAAATCCTGTTTGTACCCTCCATCAGCCTTATTTTACAGTGTTGGCGTGCTGCAAAATGTTTTGATGTGTAACCATGACAAAGTTACTACAAGTGTATGTATGTGTCATCCTGGTGAAATGTGGTCCTGGTGACACCTATTTTAGCAGGAACTACCACAGATGTGGTTTGGAATACTTTACCAGGTGTTTATACATCTGTGTGTGGACAGATTGTGTCACTGTGATAGTGTCACAACCCTGCAAGATGCAGTCTTGAAACTTTACAGGTGTGTAGCTGAGATTAAAATGAAAGCTGAGTTATAGGTGGGTGTGGTCTGAGCAAAGGTGCTGGAAGTAAGGGGGTAGGAAGTAGGGAAGGGGCCATTTCTCTTCCCCTTTACGCCCCCTGGCCCACATTTATTTTAAGTAATGGATTGCTGCATCATGGCTGGAGTGATGCCAAGATTGTCTCAAGTATCATATCTCCCATCAGGCGCGCATTTCTCCAGCCTGGTTGACAAGCGGTTCTGCTCCCAGCTGTTGTCTCCGTCACCCGGCTTGACACATTCGCTCGTGGCTCGCGCAGAAAATAGACCAGACGCCGAAATGATCGCTGCAGGGCGCGAGCTGGTCACGGTCCGGTGCTTCGAGGCTATTCACAGCGCTTCCGCGGGCGGTGTGGCCACGGGTGAGAGAGGGGGGGCGAGCGAGAGCGTTTATAATGTAATATTATAGATAATTGTTTTATGTGTTTTAATGTGTAGGTATGTAAATGTTTTCAAAGACGTTTATGTTGAAATAAAAATACCTACAAGTAGTTACGTTTCCTTGTATTAATACATATACAAGTATGTTTCCTTGTATTAGTTTGCACTCTTGTGGACATAATGCGGAAAAAAAAAGAGGTCACAACACACGCAAACTAGTGTTTTTTGTTGAATACCGCGACCATTCGCTCGCAACTCACGCAAACAATCGGTGTCTCTTCTATTTTTTCTTGTGGTGTAAATGAGGCCTACACGAATCCTACTACCAGACTTTTCGACAAGCCGAGGTGTTGTGGCTCCAGTAGCACTTTTTTTTTTTTTTTTTTTTTTTGTTTTGGGCATTTTGCCTTTAATGGACAGGACAGGTAAGCGTGAAGGGGGGAGAGAGAAGGGGGGATGACATGCAGCAAAGGGCCACAGGCCAGATCCGAACCCAGGCCGCTGCGGCAACAACCCTGTACATGGGGTGCCTGCTCCACCACTAAGCCAATGACACCCCCTCCAGTAGCACTTGTAAAAGCCATTGTTTCTAGCGAAGACGATGGAGAACAAGCGTTCTTCTTCGGCGCTCATCTTTGGCACCGACTGACGCACGTATACTGCCCCTGTCAGTTCTGACAGGAATCGACACGGCTTGCTGAGGGCAAAGTTGTATCCGGTACTTACGTTACCGAAAAAAACAGGTATCAACGTACACTGCCTGGCCAAAAAAAAAGTCACCACCAAAAAAAAAGGTCATACACTCTAATATTTCGTTGGACCACCTTTAGTTTTGATTACGGCACGCATTCGCTGTGGCATTGTTTCGATAAGCTTCTGCAATGTCACAAGATTTATTTCCATCCAGTGTTGCATTAATTTTTCACCAAGATCTTGCATTGATGATGGTAGAGTCTGACCGCTGCGCAAAGCCTTCTCCAGCACATCCCAAAGATTCTCAATGGGGTTAAGGTCTGGACTCTGTGGTGGCCAATCCATGTGTGAAAATGATGTCTCATGCTCCCTGAACCAGTCTTTCACAATTTGAGCCCGATGAATCCTGGCATTGTCATCTTGGAATATGCCCGTGCCATCAGGGAAGAAACCTATTGATGGAATAACCTGGTCATTCAGTATATTCAGGTAGTCAGCTGACCTCATTCTTTGAGCACATACTGTTGCTGAACCTAGACCTGACCAACTGCAGCAACCCCAGATCATAACACTGCCCCCACAGGCTTGTACAGTAGGCACTAGGCATGATGGGTGCATCACTTCATCTGCCTCTCTTCTTACCCTGATGCGCCCATCACTCTGGAACAGGGTAAATCTGGACTCATCAGACCACATGACCTTCTTCCATTGCTCCAGAGTCCAATCTTTATGCTCCCTAGCAAATTGAAGCCTTTTTTTCCGGTTAGCCTCACTGATTAGTGGTTTTCTTAAGGCTACACAGCTGTTCAGTCCCAATCCCTTGAGTTCCCTTCGCATTGTGCGTGTGGAAATGCTCTTACTTTCACTATTAAACATAGCCCTGAGTTCTACTGTTGTTTTTCTTCGATTTGATCTCACCAAACGTTTAAGTGATCGCCGATCACGATCATTGAGGATTTTTTTCCGGCCACATTTCTTCCTCGAAGACGATGGGTCCCCACTATCCTTCCAGTTTTTAATAATGCGTTGGACAGTTCTTAACCCAATTTTAGTAGTTTCTGCAATCTCCTTAGATGTTTTCTCTGCTTGATGCATGCCAATGATTTGACCCTTCTCAAACAGACTAACATCTTTTCCACGACTACGGGATGTGTCTTTCGACATGGTTGTTTAGGAAATGAGAAGCAACTCATTGCACCAGTTGGGGTTAAATAACTTGTTGCCAGCTGAAAGATAATCGCCCATGCAGTAATTATCCAATAGGAGGCTCGTACCTATTTGCTTAGTTAAATCCAGGTGGCGACTTTTTTTTTGGCCAGGCAGTGTATGTTTGCATGTTTGCATCGACTTGGTACCGAAGTATCAGTTCTCATGACCACACTAATACCAGTATCGATATATCCACTTTTTTTCCCTAAATAATTTTAGTGATCCTTAAGTCTCTTCTGTAGTGGGATTAGTATCATATTACGCATGTATACTCTTATTGTGATGGTCCACCAGCAGATGAAGACATGAAATGCAATGCTTGTCAGTGTAAGTAATATTTATTCATTGTGCAAAATAAGAGCATGTTGGCCAATTCCGATATTTTAAAGCCAGTATCGAACGATGCCGATATCATGCATTCCTAGCCCTTATGTGTGGAACTCTAGTGTTTTGGCATTGCACAAAATGAGCATAACTCAAGCAGTGCTACCTCTAAAAGTCTTGAGTCTTTTTTTTGAGCTATCAAATCAGTGTTGTCAAAAGGCAGAAGCTAAGCTGCAAAGTAGAGGAAGACATATGAAGGTTAGATGTCACTGTGAGCTTATGAATGGAGCACTTGTCTGTTTCATCCCTTTGGCTTAAGTCTTGTCTGTGTGAATGTAGCACAGAGCCTTGAAAAGAGGCTGCAGACACCCGGCGCAGACACCTTGATAAAAGTGTGTGTCTGAGCATGTGGGTGGTGTTGGGCACCAGAATGCTTTGACTGCATGATTTACCATGTATCAATGAGTTGTGCCCTTTCCTCCCTATTTGTATAACACACACATGCACGAAAAATGTTGCCAGTCCTCCCTCCCTGGTCGGTCCCACATTCCTTCGGTGGCCCACGCACTTTGGCAGGGACATAGTGCTGTGGTCGCTCTAATTATGAGGTTTCAGGCACTAGTTTTTGGATTTATACATTGCTGGCCACTGTTGACGATACCAGAACCACACAATTAGTATGCGTACATGTTGTGGGTGAGTGTCTCTATTATGGATGTATTTCGTGCAAGCAGGGTGCAAAACTACTGTCTACCCAGCTCTGATTAATGCAGCTACCAGAGTGATAGATTGATCTAGACAGAATAATTGAAATTAAGTCAGTTTTTCTGAGATATTGGATATGAGACATAATTTCCTGTTTATTGTAGAGCTGTGTTTGATGAAAAGCAGCGACTAAAAGTGGACTGTTTGGTTTCATAGGCATCCTTGCCTTTTCTCTTCTCCAGCTGGCACTCTGCAGACTGAGTTTGCATAATTGCTTCCTTTTTAGCAGTAAGAGCTTTCATTAAAGACAAGAGACGTGTATTTCAAGACTGCTGGACAACATCAAAAATAAATAAGCTGATTGTGATAATTGCAGTCAAATGCCTTGATAACATTGCCAGTGTTTGTGGATGAGTAGGAGGAAAGTTTAGGGGAGTATCAATATTTGATTGTATATAACGTCTGTATTTATTAACTGGCTTTCAAGCTCAAAACATGTTGTTACAGATAACATTAGGTGTGTTTTCATCCAACTGTTTTATGCGCTTTGTGCGCTTTGGTGAATAAATAATGACATACCTCTCTTCATCATCTCTGGAAGGCTTTTAACACGGTCATGCGCACAGCACTGTTACCAGAACTCTTCGAAGTGCATATAGCTGTAATATTAGTTGTTTTTTTTTAAGGTCATTTATATTGCGTTTTTGACTTTATTGATAGGGCAGCTAGAACTAGTGGGAGAGAAAGGGGGATGACAGGCAGCAAAGGGCCACGGGTTAGAATTAGGGCTGCCCCTGACTAAGAATATTCGTAGTCGACCAATAGTAATCATTTAGGGCCATTAGTCGACTAGTCTGTTTACGGTATTAATGTAATTATTAAATTATATATTTTAGGCGGGGGAAACAAAATGGTTTGTATTGAAGATGTGAGAAAGAATAGTATCAGTAACATTGTTAACACTGTGCTACATTACAGAGAAATACAAAACCGTACTAATGAACCTTCATTAATATAGGCCTATATTTTATCTACAAGTGCACGTCACACACTGAGCGAGCCGCCTGTTAATGACACTGTCGGCAAAGCAGTAATGATTGTGCTAAGTGGCTAATGGGCATGTAGCTACTTCCATGTTTCAGATGATGCGTCATGTTTGTAGTCGACCAATGAAGATGAGTTTACATATCACCTTGGGTTCGTCCTTCACCTTCTCAAAATGATCCCACACTTTGGATTTCCTGTCCGACATGTTATTAACTAGCCTGTGGAATAACTGCAGGTACCAGCCCTGGAAATTAGGGGCTATACACATGCTGCGTCTTTAACCTACTGGAAAACGCGAGATTGGGCGCTGGGCGCTACTCCAGTGCCTTTCCTGTGCCATTTTTTAAGAGTACTGTGGCAGGTTGCATCAGTGGTTGTCATGCAGTATTAACAAGTATCATATCGTATAACCCATTTATTTTTTGGTGTTGTTGTTGTTGGACAGTAGTGGATGGAAAAGCATTTAAATTCACATTTTCTTTTGTTAATTTTCTGATAAATTGGTTAAAATTTGCTCTACATTTGGGTGGAAATCCAACTAGTGAAATTAATTACTTTTGCTTACACCTTATGGAATCCTTCTTTTCAACTGAATTTTAATTTCAATGCTTCTAATTTTAATCCAAAGTTGTGTTTTTTAATATTTGGGGAACATTTCGTGCCTTTTTAGATAGTAGATAGTAGAGAGACAACAGGGAACAAGGGGAGAGAAAGAGATGGGGAGTAACATGTTCAAACGTCACTCTGCAATTGTCAAGTTCATGGTCATCACAATAACTCCTAAGCCACCAGCATCCCCCTATTTTTATCTTTATTTACACTGACATCACATCGTGGAGATTTCAAGATACCAGTTGCAGTGCACCAGTCCAACACAGTTTTTCTTATTATCCAGAAAAAATATCTCATGGTGATGCTAGATAACTGTGGGCAGTCTAGTTATGGGAACCAATTTTTAGACCACATTGATGTTGATATGACTCCCTTGAAGTTTTTCCATGGTGTTAATCCATACTCTTTCTCCAACACACTACTTCACTGAGGGATTAAGCACATAACACGTGCCATAGCTCATACATCATCTCAGGAAATTGGGATAAATGTGCTGTTTATAGTTTTATTCTCATTGCCCCAGAAAGTTGGTATTTTTTATGGGTATAACATGAGTGTTGTTCCTTCCCTCATTTTTCTCTTTCCCGCTTAAACTCAGTATTTGTTGTTTCAGTTGCTTCGGTCACAATGGCTCACGCTGTGTCTGGTGATTTGGCTGAATAGTTTCAGATAAGAAAGCTGATGTGATGAAAGAAGAGAGCACAGAAGGAAATGAGAAAAAGTCTTTTAAAGTTAGTAAAATGTGTTTCTCGTGTGTTTCTTTCAGTTTCATCCATGGTTCTATTAACTCAATCTTAAAGTTTGTTGCTTTCTCACTTAATCCTCTTTGAATAAGCTTTGATGGCAGTAATGTCGAGCATTTATTTAATTGCACATTAAAAATACAGTGGAAATTGCTTTGAATAATGATTGGTGTGTCTGTGTTTCTCTTTCTCTTTTTCTCTCTCAGGACCTGCAGATGGATAACCATGGCACAGATACATGTCAGGACCAGTCAGGGCTAGTGCGCACAGGCACACACACATGGCCCTGTGAGCTGTGACTGTGACTATCAAGGAAATTCCTCAGTCCTCCAGGGTCACCTCCGTGGGCTCTCTATCTGGCCATTTGTACAGCTGCACAAGCTTCTGTTTCTACAGCACACGCACACACACACACACACACACACACACACAGAGCACACTCTGTATGGACATGTTGTCTTAGTCACTCAAGAGGTCACTGGAAGCTGAAGTCATTATTTGCCCCAGCGCAGGCCTATGACCATGATGGTACACTGAAATTGAGAGAGAAGCTTGGGACTGTTATGTAGCATGACCTGAAGTGGATCGCTCTCATCATCTAAGTAAGTATTTTAACTGAAATACAGAAGGTTTGGTGCTGATGATAGTGAGTCACTTACTCATTCAGTCAATCAGCCACAGTGTGGAGCTGCAACAGAGAGATGTGCTTTAATCCCACACAGCTGAAACAATGTAGATATATTAATGAATATGTGCTCCATGCAGGGACTCACTATCATTAGTCATCCAGACCATCTGAGTTACAAACGTGACGCTGCTGTCACCTTACATAATATATGGGGTTTTGAAGTCTGCAAATTTCATTTCCTCTGCAAATTTCATTTCCTCTTGCTGCTCTATGGAGCCACTAATTGAGACGGAAGACGTCTCCTCAAATGTAAGGGATTAAGAGAGTCCTAGAGAAATGTAATTGACTGATGCTTGCATCACAAATGCAGTCTGATGCAACTAGTTTTAGATAGATAAAGGACTTAAAGTTGTTGGTCACTTTTATGAAAACAATTTTTTGTTGCATTTGCTGAAACTGTCACTATATTCTGAAAGAAGTACATGAGACAGATAACCTGAAGAAAATTATGTCACTCCCCCTCCTTCTTCTGCCTCTAATGGCATTTGCGAGAATTCATGCGGCCAACTGAAAACAACCAATCAGAGTCGGGGAGTCTAACGCCGCTAACGTAGCTTTAATTTCTGTGACCCACTGATGCTCATGGACAGACGCACAGATAATGAAGTCAGTAAGATAACCTTATGTAGTCTGTGTTCACTGCCACTAACTGCCATTTCCCTCTTAAGCCCAGTTCAGACCAATGATTTACGATGAGATGAAACTGTTTTAGAATGTTGCAGCAGTGTGAACTGGCCATCTGAGCTCGACTCAAGCCGGCTGTTGGTGTCACCTGCAACTCAGCTGGTCAAATTGCCAGCGGATGGTTTTACAACGTAAACCGTGTCTCCTGTTTCTACAGCCAGTCAGCTTGTAGTGAAGTCTGCTGGTAGAGTCAAAAAGACCGCAGTCGGTGTGTTTTAATATTATTGTGGCGTATTTAGAATGAATACAGTTCATCTAATGCTCATTTTGTTTCCGTTTTTCGCCGTTTCATCACTACTACAAATGCAGCTGTATCCAGTATCTCACTATCACTGTTCTCATTCATATTTTAAGAAGCTACAAAGTAAATTCAGCCACAAAATAAACCTGAAAAGCTGCAAACAGAGCAGAGGTACGGAGAGTTGTTGCATAGAGATGATACACCATCTCATTTAGTTGCATTGGTGTGATCCGGCAGGTTTTCAGAAAGTTGCAGAACAAGGCATTGCAAGTAGTTGCATATTTCAACTCGTGTCATCGCGAATCTTTGGTCTGAACTGGGCTTAAGATTCCACATGTCTGTCAGTGAGCATGACTGACATGATTGACAGCTGTATTAGAGACTCGTTTGCTCTGATTGGTTGTTTTCATTCACAAGCAGTAATGCTGTTAGCGGTGTGAATATAGTGACAGTTTCAGCCAATATGACCAATAGATGTTCTTTATAAAAGTTCCCAACTATGTCTTTAAATCTTCTAAATGCTGATTGGTTACATTTCTCCTGCTTAACTGTCATCAACAACAAAGTGTTGCTTATTTTCAGAGCTGCAGCAAAACAAAGGCTAAAGCAGAACGTTCCAGGGACACGAGATGTCTACTGAGGAAAATCAGACACAGGTCGAGGCTGTAGTTCTGGCTCAGCGTGCTACACCCCCATCCACTGGGAGCAGACCCAGCAGAGAGGCGAGACACGCAAATGACAGCCAGGAAGTGCGGCAACACTTGGACCAACTGTGGCATTCAAAACAGCGGAGCAGCCCTTCCCTCCTCTTGTATAGGAAGTTGCCATGTGACAGTGGGAAAGTGGCAATTTTGGACGAGGGATACGAGTGTTTGGAGTACAGATCAAAACTCTCGAGTGCTGCGGCGAAACTTTATCCAGAGCTAAAGGCTGGCAAGAGAATTGATGGAATAACTAACACAGCTATGCCGATACCTGGGAAAAGTTCAGAGGGATCTCCGTGCCAGCTGGACACCCCTGGGGAGGGCGTGGATGCAGGCAGAAACAGAACTGGCAGCGCCCGTTGCTCCTGCACTCTGTCTAGCCTTTACACAAGTCCAAACATCTATTGTTGCCACAGCTCCGGATCAAGTCCGAGCCCCAGCTCCAGCCCTGTTCACAGTCGTCGCCTCTGCCCCAGCCCCTCGCAACCCAACCAGAGACACATTCGCCGCAGCAGCCTGCCTGTGTCTATGCTGGCTTTCCACAAGGTAATGTGGGAGGAAGTTGGTCACCCTGGTTACCTATATACATTTAGCTGCTACATCAAGGCTGTGTTATGTGTTCTCTGTCCTCGAAGTGCTTGTTTTTAACATGAAATAAGCAAACATCACAAATTTTATAATGTAAATTAAATATTTGTCCCCATTAGAAAGCCCATTCAAGCTATTTTTGCTGTAAAGAAACATTAAGATTATTTTAATTTGTCATGTTTTCTGCTCCTAGATATCACCCTGCCTCTCACCCCACTGCAGTCCATCCAGTGAACCGAGCTCTGTGGTGTCCTCTCCCTGTAATTCCCCCCTTCCCAAGCACCGCCAGCATCAGCAGAATGGACACATTCACCGGCGCCATCTCAAAGATGGCTACTCAAGTTTAGAGAGGCTCAACAGGAGGCCCAGGGTTGACAAATACTCCTTGGAGAAACTGTTTCTGAGACGAGCATCTCTAGAAAGTATGAGGACAAACCTGAGGCATGATGAGACGTCATCCTCAGGAGTGACCAGGAACTGCAGCGAGGACAGCAGCAGTGATGAGGGGGATGGGGAGGGGCTCTTGGATAACACAGAGTTTATTAGGAACCGTAAAGAGCGGTCCACTGTCCTGGTGAGGCGCTTCTACAAGAATAATCAAAAGGTATTTATGTGCAACACTCCTTTCCTGTTGGTTTTATGACTAACAATTTTGGTGTCATGTAGAATTTGTGTCTTGGCATCTGGGTGTTCAGTTGATATCTTGATCCTGAAATACTTTCCTTCTCCGTAAGATGACCAAGTCAGTGTGTACTGGAACCAGAGCGATTGTCAAGACGCTGCCGTCAGGACACATCTCAGAGGAGGTCTGGGAGGTGGTTGTTAATTACAGGATATGGCAACCCAGCAAGAAGGATGTGTGGCCAATCGTAATGCGTGGTATGGGAGAAGAATTCAGAGCCTGCGGGGAGATACTGCGTTATGTTGGAGTAAAGCTACAGCTGGTAAGAGAGTGAATACACAGACAACACACACTAAGGCTCTGTTAACATTACAAGCAAATGTGGTCCAAATCTGAGTTATTTTTCTCCTCTCATGTGACACAGATCATATTTTTTTAGGAGTTGTGTTGACACAGAAATCTGATTATTTACAGTCACATCTGGGTTACTTTCATATGTGGTACTAAATCCGATACATATCTGATCACTGGTCACGTTGGCCATGGGTTAGGCGTTGATCACACAGAAAGTGTCTTGCAGGTTGCAAAACACAAGGTGTGCCACTAAATTAAATGCCACTAGTGAAAAAAAGCTCGCTGCACCTTTTCAATTTTGCAACCATGGACTCACGTAAAAATAGACGGGCAGAGGGTACTTGGTCCAGCTCTGGTTGAGGGTGAGAGGCTGTCAGCAAATAGTTTTTTGGGTGCAGGGAAACGGAGATCTGTGTGGGTACATGAGACCCTAAAAAAGAGGGTGGATCATGGGGAGTACCACCAGTTGGTCCAGGAGCTTCTCCTCGATGATGGCTGTTTCCAGGCATATTTTAGGATGACTCGGGCAATTTGACAACCTGCTGTCAATTTCGGGCTGTATAGCTCTGGGTATCCAGCAACCACTACCACCAGTTTCTCCTCCACTGTTTACCAACTGTAGACCTCTTATCATGACCACCACAGAAGGCCCTACTCTGCTTGAATCATCTGATTGGACAGTGGAAAAAAAGATGAAGAAAGAGATGACATGGGCCGTTTTTACGCTTTGGGTTAAAGTTTTTTCAACTCGACGAGTTCAGAGTGCTCGGAAGAAGATGCTGTGCGCTTAGAGTGCAAAAACACCAGGGGTGTCGCAACACAAAAACACCGAGCAAAAAGCTTCATTCTCATTAAAAACAATTACAAAAAGGAACCTCCAGCTGCTAAATCACTTTATGTGTAATCAGGGCTTTGGTTTGCCTTATGCTTTGACAGCATTGTTGTGAGATGCTGATGGAGATATTGGAGTGAAGTTTTGGAGAAACTGTTCCTCCATGAAACCCTTCACATTGCGGCCCCACCAACACTGATTTATCTGCGCCCACTACCAGCTTCGGCTGCTAAAAGAGCTACATCTCTGGCATTCCTTTTTTCTTCTCAGGTTTTACGTTTCGTATCCCAATGCCTCAGTAGTCTGAGAAATGTCCCATTTCATGACAGCTGCATATCCTGAAAACAAAGAAGGGTCTGATAATTTTACTCTGCATATTAATTCGCCACGTGCTTCTGTTTGGAACAGTGGGCAGTCCTCTTCACAACATACGAAAAATTGTCACCTGACTTCTGCAGCAAGTCGTTCGGGATATGTACACTTGCACCGCTGTATCTTTAATATTGTTCCTATGTGCCAGTTTTGTAAATGTGCATTTATTGTTGGTGTTTCAGTGCACATGTGAGGTGTTGTCAGGACAGAGATCAGTTCACACTGATGTCAGATATGGGTCACTTCAAACATGAATGTGAAAAGTCTAAGCAGAACGATTGGATTTGAGGAAAAATCAAGTTGAGCATTAAGCCCTGTAATGTGAAAGTTTTTAATATAAATGCACAATAGAAGCATTTCATATCTCAAGGACTTTAATGTGTCGTAAAAGTTGGTTCATGTAGGTTCAGGACAGCAGTGCAGTGAACTTCTCAGGTCTAGTTTATTTGTCTCACCCAGGCCACTGTTAACATGCTCCGCTTAAGAAAGAACTGTACCAACACAAAAGGATTTCAAGTAACTTTACAGTGTTAATCAACACAATTAAACATTTTTCCATAATCATCCTAAGCCAAGGGTTATTAAGGTTGCCTTTTTAAGAGTTTAGGAAATGTGTTGCAGTGGGAGGCATTCAGTCTTTATGGTGTTCATGGCCTTACATCACTGACGTTGCGCCTCGAGCTGTAATGTGCTTATTCTTCACATGCTTTAAAGTGATGTGGATTTTCCACAGATGATAAGGCATCGGGTTTAATATGTGGTTTGCTTCTCAAACTCTCTTTTCTCTGCCACAAGAAAATGTGCAATGCTCAATAGCTGCAGTGGCACAGGAGTATGACTTGATTGATTTTTGCTTCAATGGAGGAAAATTGTTCTTGGCTTTTGCTCCGCTCTGTTTGGGTTGAAATGTTACGCCTGTTATGCATGAGAGATGAATAATTTGCTCAAGGAATATGTTAATAGACCAACACACACACACATGCACACACACCTCAAAAACACACACACACACAGGCTCTTTGTTCAGGGTAGGCCCCTGCTGCGGAAAAATGATTTATTCTCTGTTAGTTCTGCTCCCCGTATTACTGACAGACTGAATGACTGGTCCTTCTGTGTGTGTGTGTGTGTGTGTGTGTGTGTGCGTGTGTGTAAATGGACTGAGCAGAGTTGGCATCTGCATTAAAGTTATAGCCATGGAAATTGGAGAGAAGGTAAATGAGCAAGACAGAGTGAGAAAGTCAGAGAGAGATGGAGGATGGAGGAAAAGAGACCGAGGGGGACAGACAGAGAGGAGACCGGGACGTTGCTGTGTTATTATCAAGTTTCCAAGCAAAAGAGAGTGTTTTTACAAACACGAAAAACCTCTCACAGGGGCTGTTCGGCTTGAGCAACCTTGGCAGGCGCAATTCGGTAAAAATACTGCTTGTTGCTACCTTTCAGCAGGAGTCATTTTGTCGGTCATAAGTCATGCTTGTTAGCGTGAGGGGTGCAAACATTATGAGAATCTGTGAAGACTTTATCAGCAGCATCACTCAGGATACTCTCCTGTTGTTTTTTGTTATCTTCTCCCTCCTTTTCCTGTAAGAACTCAAAACACATGGAGCCTGAAATCCAGTGCCCTGAAGACACATGCAGCTGCAGAATAACAAGACCAAGTTTATTATATTGTAATGCCAAGCAGCACATTTCTACCTAACTTCTCTGCTGTGTATAATTGTCACAAGAAATACTGTATGTTTGTAAACCAATTATTAGGTAAATATTAGCAGAGTGACTATGTCTACTAGCCATCTCCTGTAAACAGGGTTCATACACAAATAATATGAAATAGCAGATGTGTTTTTAGGGAAACATAAAGTTTTCCAGGGCTCAAACTGGGACCAAAATGGTTTCATATGCGACCTTTTTTTGTGAGTGTGCGAGATAAAATATCACGTGGTCGCATTCAGGCAAGTGCATGATGCAAACTGAAGTCAATACTAACAGTGACAGAAGCCCCTTTTACACTGCCAGATTTTCGGCAAATATTGGGCCGTTTTGCTGGCAAGCTGTGAGCGTTTAGACACACAGAGACAGATTGGCGAGTTGATCCGAGGTGCCCAATTTTCCGCCTTGTAGGGTAGACATATTGGCGGAACCTTTTTGGTATAAAAAGAACGAGGGGTTCTTCCGCCACGGGAGGGGCTGTTGATGACTTGTGGGACGAGCTGTTGATGACGCCGCATGTGTGACCCACTGGTGGTGGATAAACAGGAAACAGCTGATTGCAGGAATTAGCAAACAGCTAGTAGCAAGAGGGAAACACAAACCTGACAGACACTGTAAAGATGAGCAACTGAGGAGACAAGGAATTGCGTGCCCTCCTTGTCCTCGCAAATGAAGCGGCAATTAACCGTCAGATGACGGGGACAGTGAAGAATCGGCCGACTTACGAGAGAATCGCCGAAGGACTGACCAGCCACAGCTTCCCTTCCACTTCACTGTTCACGCCACATTCTAAACAAAAGTAGGTAGGCGGCATTTTGCCACACTCCCCGATTTTGTTTTTATACTGCCAATGCTGAAAAAAGACTGATTGGGCTTTCCTGCAAATTTGCACAATTCCTATTTAAAAAGGGCTAGAGTCAGAGCTGGTCCACATAAAAGGATCTAACACAGGTTCCATGTGGATTGTGGGGTACGCAATACACACTTCTTGTGTGTGAAACGTCTGTGTCACTGCGCTGCTTTTTTATAAACTGTCATAATCTGGTCATGTCTTTGGCTGTGTCCAAGCTCTACTTAACCCCACTTACTCTACTTGTAGTACACGTACACATACAACTGAAGTTACATCCAATAACTATTATTACTAACAGCACAACATTACCAGCGGATAGACCAGGTGTTATTGCAACTTCACTGTAGAGAATTGTGATTTTTATTACAACTTTATAGTAATATCTGTTTAATAGAGCAGCTCCAGTAACCCAGCACCGTACTAGTTGTTTAAACTTATTCTTTAAATAACAAAAATTATATATTAACGATAATTTGTACTGAAGTGTCATGTCTTCGTAGTCAAATGTTGCTTCATAAAGAACAGGCATCTATTAGCTAATAATTTTATCAACACCGGAGTGAAATAAATCAAGGGAAAACAAACAAACAAAAATAACACATTTTTGATCTGATTGCCCAGGCAATAGCAAGGTGAAAAAAGTGATGAAGTAGTGGAGCAACAGTGTGGAGCAAGTGCCTCTCAAAATGTAATTAATTACATATAACTAGTTACCTTCATTTAAAAGTCGTAAGTTACTTTACAATAAAACTCTCTGTGTGGCTTAATAAGTTATTTATTACATTACTTTTTGTAATTTTCGCCAGAATGATAATATAATAGGCATTTTAAATGGATGAATGTCATGTTGTTTTACAGCCAGTAATTAAAGCACAGAGGCTCCAGTTAATTACAGTTCATTTCAAATCCATTGATGCAGGTCTGACTCATTAATGCATTTACATACAGTTGTAACCACTACGTATTAAAGGCTCTGCTAATATTAATAATACTGTGATGATCTAGAACAGTTAGATAGCCTAGACCGTTTAAAATAAATGAACAGCCTTGGGTACAAGGAGGGTCAGGCAGAGGATCAAAGCCTAATAATTATAAGATATGGATAAATATGTGTCTGCCTATGATATGAAACATAATAAAAAAATATTGAGGTTAGCACAACAAACAGAATAGTGTGCGAGTAAATCACTATGATGAGCGCAAA